TTCTCCCCTGCGGCGGACCCACCTGGTCATCCTGATGTGTGATGCGACCCCTGTGTCCCCTGCATCCCCCCCTTCATTCCCAAGAGTCTGTTTTCAGTGTACTCCTCGTGCCACGTGGGGCGCCCGACTCCTCACTTCAGCCCTGATTTTCCTGGCCTCACTGAAGCCCAGCTCTTCCCCGCTGCCTCCTCTGCATCCTCCCAGCCCGCCTGGCCCTTGTCAGTTCCTCCTTTTCCCCAGCAAGGACACGTCCTGCCCCTGTCTTCCTCTGCCACCTGTGTCCTGCCCTCCTCCCACCCTCCCTCCACCTCCACCTGAATCCCTGCTCTGCTCACCTCCCCCCATCACCAGGTCCCCCCGGGGCTCTTAGTAGCTCCCTCCTGACATCTGTCCCCACTCCTTTTCCTGGCCTAGGACTTTGACCCTCAGCAGGACCGTGACTTTTACAGGACTCTCTCCCTGTTGAAGAAGAAGGACCCCTGCATTTATCAGAAAGATGCCACCTTCTATCAGGGAACAGGTGTGGGGTCTGCTCCTTCCTGCACCCTGCCTTTCTCCTTCAGGAATGGGACTCTGGATGGCGGGTCATTTCCTCACTGGCCTCAAGGAAGAGATTCGACCTTTTTGAGCCTCTTTCCCTGTCTGTAAAGAGGGTCTAGTGATAGTCTCTACCTCAAGGCTGTTGTGAGGATAGATTGGTATTTGTCTAATGTACACAATTTATTGTTGTGACTATTGAATGAATCATTCTGCAAGTCACAAGTGCTTCGTAGAGCTTAGGTTATTACTTGGTGGTAGAGTTAATAACTACTGTGTTCAGGGCAGGAATTGCTGACTCAGTAATGTCAGTCCCATCAGGCTGGCTCCCACTTGTAATCCCAGTGCTTTGGGAGGCTGAGGCAGGAGGATTGCTTGAGGGCAGGAGTTGGAGACCAGCCTGGGCAACATAGCAAGACCCCATCGCTACAAAAAAATAAGAAAATTAGCAGGACATGGTGGCGTGCGTCTATACTCAGGAGGTTGAGGCAGGAAGATTGCATGAGCCCAGGAGTTGGAGGCTGGAGTGAGCAAGGATTGTGCTACTGCACTCCAGCCTGGGCAACAAAGTGAGACCCTGTTACAAATATATAAGTAAATACAATAAAATAAAGTCCTATCCAATGGTAGCAAGTAGCATCCTGTTAGATAGCTGGGAATGTATGGATTGGGGATTGAAACCTTCATCTGAACCTGGCCCTGCCTTGTGGGAGAGGGCTTGTGGGTGATGGCAGGCATCTTCTGGGGGCCTTACAGCATCGTCATCAGACAGCGAGGAGGAGCCAGCAGTTCCGGAGAAGCAGAAGAAAGTCCAGCCCATGTACCTGAAGGATTATGAGAGGAAGGTTATCTTGGAGAAGGAAGGGTACGGAGAAGGGCTGCGTCCCTGCCCCCTGATCCCCAGGCTGCCCAGGATGAAGAGAGTCTTAGGGGCAGAGGCAGGAAATAGTTGGCTACTCACCCGAACTGAGGGAGCCTTTGGAAGCAAAAGTCTCAGTGACCCTACTCCCCTACACCTCCACAAAATGCTGCTTGTAACATTGTTTCCTATGGGATGGGTGGGCCATGGAAGGTTCATCCTGAAGACCCTATTTTTATCTGCACAGCAAATATGTCGATGAGGAGAACTCAGACGGGGAGGCCTCCAGTCAGAGATTACAGGTGGGTAGGGTGGGCCGGGCTCGGTGGCTCAGCCTGTAATCCTAGCGTTTTGGGAGGCCGAGGTGAGTGGATTGCCTGAGCCACAGTTCCAGACCTGCCCGGGGAACCTACTGAGACCTCATCTCTACAATAAATCCAAACTTAGCCGGGCATGGTAGCACGTGCCTGTAGTTCCAGCTACTTGGAAGGCTGAGGTG